TACGAGTTCGAGTGGCCTCGTAAAAGTTTGAGGGAATCTTCTCATTCCTTCTGTTGGCAGCAGCTACAGCTGCTTCCGTGAGAGGAGTGACTCCATCTCGGTATGCAGCGGGAATACAATCGTAATCCGGTCGTAGGAGGAGTTTTCCGACTTCTTCACGCGCAGACCCTCGTCCAAACTGGGAACGAATCGAAGGGCGAGTGGAGTACATGGTGCTGACGGACTCTTGTTCATCCGTTTGCAGGAACATCTTTCGCATCGCGTTGAAATATTCCTTGATGTGGGAGTTGCAGACTTCGCATCGTCGTTGTAAGACTACGTAACCAATTAAGATGTCCTTTTTGTTAGTATGCCAGGCTAGCATCCTGAGCATCTTCCATTCTGGATCGAATGCGAATGGTTGACGATCGCCCTCCTCCAAGAAGGTTTGAAAGGCGTCGAGTACTTGATACATGGCTAAGAAGATCTGGGCCACTTCTTCGAGGAACATGGGCGCCACCGAATAATACTTCACCGAGTCCACAGTGTAGTCGTTGATATATTCGGGATCAAGATTGATCCTATGGAACTGGTCGATTATCGATGGGAGATTGTTCCAAACGCCGTCAATGTGAGGCGAGTACCAGCGCCATAGGAGATCTCTAATTCCCTGAGAGTCTTCTAAGGATCTCCCGGGAAGTCTCCCGTCAACACCCCCAAAGTAGATCAAGGGGTCATCGTCAATGGCTGAGTTGAACTGACGATGGTAACGGGCCAGGGATGCCGACAAGGGCTCGTCATAGATCATAACTTCCTCGTAGGTAGCGATGCCTTCGAAGATACGATGATGCTCCGTAGGCACTGTTGCATCCTTGGCACCTAGCGTAGAGATGCTTGATATAGTCGTCAAGTAAGTGAGCGATGGCGCATCCGAAAGGATTTGTCCTGTCTCATGCAAAAACGCTAGGTTTCGGCCAGGAGGATTGATCGGCACAACGCTGCCTTGCGGCGCGCTGGAACCCGACTGAGGAAGGGGTAGTGGAGCTGGAGCTTTCTGTGAAGACAACCCTGGCTTAGATGGTTTGGTTTGTGACGCGACTGTCGCTTTCCCTTTCGCGGGAGGAACAGCGGGGGTAGTAGCACCCTTCGCACTCTCTTCCGCAATTGGCGACGTAGCTGTCGTTTTTCCCTTAGCAGAAGGAACAGCTGGGGTGCTAGCACCTCTAGCGCTCTCTTCCGCGAGTTGAAGGTTTTTGGAGGTAGCTCTGGTTGAGCGACCGGTAGTTTTTGGTTTGTCAGAGGGGTCGGCGTTGTCGGTGTTGGATAAGGAAGGGGTAGCCATGGTAGTGTAGCTGAAGGAGACGAAACTTTAGTCTATTTCTTATATACACTGGCGGCGCCCTGTCTGATCGTAAAACTTCGCCGACTAAGTCGAGGAAGATCCTTCATCCGGTGTGTGTGGCATAGCTAAATCGGGTAGAGTCGGTTGGGAGAGGGGTGGACTGAATGAATGAGGGCGATGGGTGAAGGATCTAGCGGTGGGCTAGACGACTAACTGAATTCGGATAATCGGAATTACTAAGGTGAGTCGAATAACCGTGAACGCTGTGGCAGCGCTCCAGGGCATACTCGCGCGAACGCAGGAGGGACTGCGCTCAGCAACGAGTGGAAAGGAGTGGGTAGTGGACGGTACGGCGAGGGAGAGGGATGGAGGAACGATGTGACTCGTAAGTGATGAGTCATACTTACTATGACGTGATCAACAGCCTCCGAGCTCTCCCGGAGCGAGACTTCAACATCGGATGTGAAGTCCGCGGTGCCCCCACCAATGTGAAACCTCAGTGCGTGCGGGGACTTCGTGCGCGTGAAGTCTCGTAGTACCGTAGTTGAATGTTGTAGTATAGTATCGATGAATAGAAGTAAGTGGAGAGAACGCGACTATTGAGGTCGCGCTCGTCTCCTAGGGTTGCCTAGAAGTCCTAGGCAGACCCTCGTTAACCCAGAGGAAGGGCTCTCGTATCCTGTGGAGGAGGGAGCATTGTAAGGGGGCTCACCCTTGGTCTTACCAGCAGTGGACACCTTAGACTCATCACGCGAGCTTGGTAGCAAGATGATGGTGGTTTAATGTCTAGAGATTGCTACGTACAATAATCGTCAAGAAGTCAAGATTATGTAAGCGAGTCTGCGCGTATTCTCCTATTCCGTATCACAGATGCCGTTAAGAGCAATTTACAGGTTTTCACCTAGTAGCTAGGCTAGAGCTAAGAAACAGCTACTCCCGAGGTTGCTGCTAAAAAAATCGAAACGACGTTGGATGAGAGGAATGGATACTACAGAGGACTGACTCATTTCGAGGCTGTTATACTTTTAGTGGTTTGTTAAAGTCTTTCATTGCGATAAAAACCTCCAATTGCAACATTCTCATATTCTCGTCACTTCCCTCCAAATAAAAACTCGGAGTCTCCGATTACGTTACTTGATGTCTAACTTGCCTTAATAATTCTAGATTTTATCTGGAGGTCGAGGCGGCAGTATACTTCATCTGATCAATCGTTGCACATGAGGGGGAAAAACACGCTGAAAATATTTTTATTTTCACCGTTCCACTATGGATCGGAAGTTGGTTTGATGTCGGTCCGAGGCTACTTCAAAAGTCCCACTCGAGGGCCCAGAACGCTGCTCGAGCGACGTCCAGGTGGGATCTGATATCTCTGTAAACTCTATACGGGTATTAGGTTCATCTGACCGTGGCAGGTGTGTGTTCAACGTTTCTTCAGATTTTTCTGTCGACTCTTCCACTGCTTCTGGGTCCGGTCCTCGGCGAAAGATACGGTAGAAGAACGCAGCAACAACAACGAGGTTGCAGACAATCATGGATGTCGTGGCCTACCAAGAAGTTTGTAGAATTTAATGACAATGGCGAGAGCTAAAGGGATACACACCTCAATGTGAGCCGTCATTGTGATGATGAACCCGTCGCTCGATCCCAGGTTAAAATTCCCCTTAATTGATCCATAAAGTAAAACACAAAAAGTGATAGATGCAATCAGAGTCGTGAAACTCGCAGAGAATGTTATGAGGATAAGGCATCGTTGAGTTTGTGGAAGCCTGACCCGCCAAAATGTAATCAATGGAAAAAGAGTGAGCAAGGTGTCGCCAGAAAGATCCACTTCAAAAACACAGAAATTAGACGCATAGCTAAAATTACAATTGAGGAACGACGCACAAGAAGTAGACATCACTGCAGCCTTTATGCAAGATTCTCCTTGGAACATAAGTTTGTTCCCCGTACGGCAGGCAACAGAAAGAGCGACGACACAAACAGTAAAAGTAAGAACAAGATAAGATGCAAGGGTCAAAGAAGCCCGTCGAGAGTGGTGGCCAGGAGGAAATATTCTGGCCATTGATAAGGCCAGGCTGGTGCGACATGACCTGACGACCAGCGTTAGACTGCTGGGATAAAAGAAGATTATACTCTCACCAGATTATCAAAAACCATAATAAAGTTGTAAACCAGAATGAATCAATAATCCCTTTGTCCGAGTCGTATACAACTGTGTAGAAAAATCTATAAGCGCAGCAACAAAATAGCGGGAAATACTTACAAGATCTGTGATAGAGCACCCACAAGCTTGCGAGGTACGTTGCGTCGAGTCCCAAAGGAAGGAGTAAAAGAAAGTCATCCCACCACAATCGGGACGCCGACCAGCGCTGAGCGACGCGGAATATTGTTGATAATAGTGCAACTGAGTGGAGGACTGTCAGAAAAACTAGATTAATTGGGGAGAAGGTGCAATCCGTGAATGTCAAAGATGGCGCAGATTTAACGCGTTGACGAGACGTACCCATCCAAGGCTGCTGTGGCATGGCACTGGACGTCCTCCACGACGTCTTTTGCACGGAAGCGCAGTAGTGAGGGTGGCGATAAAGGTAAAGTGAAGAATATTCGAACAGGGGAAACGACTCTGACAGACTCTGACGTTGATCGAGTCCAGACGCCCATATGAATAGGGTCACGTCAATGTGGCACTGACATTTTCTCGCATGTCAAACTGTCCCTTCGATGCCGTTATTGCCTAGGTCCTCTTGACCTGGATCAACAAACAGTCGTCTATACTTAGCAATGATTTTCGGTAGAGGATCGTCGTGGTGGCAGAGATCCAGAAATTATCACGCACGTGATGGTTCCAAGCGTCTTTCAACAGTAAAACTCGCTAGGTATAATCCTTTCTTGACGCGTCATTTCTAGGCTGATACAATTTATACAAATGTGTTTCTTGGGTGTTCCTTGGTCACAGAGAATCCCTCAACAAAACGGTACATCGCAAGTAAAAAATAGCCACTGTTATAGCTCAAAACATATTTTCAAAAGAATGGCAGATCTTTAGCTAATTATTTCAGACTGAAAGCGCCGTTCTGTCACGGACTAGCTTTCTCACAATGACGCAGATAGAAACGTCAAATAGATGCGTACTTATTGTGCACGCAACACCAGGGGAAGTTGTAACCTCATTAAGACAATACAAATGCGCACACGGCGTGGCGGGGTTGGGAGAGTTCGTCCCGGTGCCGAGTGGCAGCAAGAGAACCCGTTATCTGTTAGGCTGCTGATGACTTATAAAACCGCTTAGGAGGGGAACTCACAGTTCTAACTGCTTAGGAGGGGAACTCACAGTTACGCGATTCAAACTTTCTCGCGTGCCTGAGGTCAGAGGCGATCATCGTGTACTCGAGGTGAACTTGACAGGAATTACATCCACCTGAGAGCGACAGGCGTTTCGATCGTGCAGATGGTAGCCAGTATAAGTCAGATGCCTCAGTTCAGTCCTTCAGATGGAATGAAATCCGCGAGAGTCGGCTCACAGCGAAATTGATATGACCGCTAGTCCACGTAGTTTGTGTGGGGTAAACCTCTAGCGTAGAAACGCAAAGCAACCTTGAAGGCTAAATGTAGCTGATTGTAGACAGACAGCGTGGAGCCGGTATTGCGCAACTTTGATAATTCATGACGGTTGAGCCACATTTTCGGCCGAAATGTCCTCTACCTCTCAAATTTGACGCTTGTGATGGTTCTTCTATTGGAAACTTGAAAGAGATAACCGACGTTCAAGTGAGCTGACATCGTCTTTAGCAGAGTCTGATTAGAAACAAAGATTTGGAGAATACGATGGTTGATAAGAGGATTAGTAGATTGTGAGAGATGAGCGCCGTTTGTCCAGGACCGTCCTGGATCAGAACTATTTGAGAAACGGAAGAAGTAAGTGCAAGGCCATCCAAACTGGCCAAATGATTTGGGCACGCTTGGAAACGGCTAAAAGCAGATCGGGGGGCTTGGAGCGGATGTTCGTATCATGATCATAATGGTCCTACTATCCTAGGTTTCCTCGTTTTAGAGTGCCCACTAAAGTCACATGACGCCAATTTTTCTGTCAAAGGAAGTGCAAATGGTCGGCCGCCGACAACGACAACCCATAGCTGAGCAGCTAAAAAGAAGCTTAAGATCTTGGGGCGGAAGTTCGCATCAACATGACAAGCATCTATTTTGAAACGCCCCAGTCATCGAAGGAACAGGAGAGCCTTGATGAGGGAGGAAAAGTGGCTGAGCGCGATATCGATTCGGCCAGCATGCCAATTGCCCGAGTTGTCCCCATTAACGCCAAATTCCGAAGGTAAGTCCTTTCGTAGGCTTGAGAATATCGTGGATTGCTGTTAAACTTTGAAGGTACGCAGAGAACGCGTCGACTCGGATGAAACCAGCGCCGAAAACCTAATGAAACGACCACTGGAGCTGTGGGCGTCATGGGCTTGATGTAAATCAAATGTCGGAAGCAGGTGCCAGGGATAACCAAGCGTTTTGATGTTCGCAACAATGGATGCTGGTGCTGTGGTGGAGGTATTACGAAGAAAGCTGGGTGAACGGAGGATACCAAGCGGACACGTGAGTGCATCAATTGGCTTGTGATTGAAATGCAACTCATTTTACTCTCTTACATATAACTAGTCTTCTACTAATCCACAACGTTGACCGTTGACTCACACAATGACGACGACGACAAAATCATCAGACGTCCTGCTGCTCGGCGCAACAGGCTTCACCGGAACACTCATTATTCGCTATCTCTGCGCTCATCCACAGCGCCATCTTTTCACCTTTGCCATCGGTGCTCGCTCACGGTCGAAGCTCGATGCACTCGTCCAAAAGTTGGACGTCCCATCTTCTGTGCAACTTGTTCAAGTTGACGTTACGGACAAGCATCAAGTTGAGGAGGCTGTCAAAAGTACCCGCGTTATCATCAACACTGTTGGTCCTTATTGGAAGTGGGGAACGCCCGTCGTTGCGTGAGTCTCTTCTTCGCGACCGATAAAATACTCTAACGCAGTTCCCCCAGCGCATGTGTCCGAAACGGAGTGCACTACGTCGACCTTGCAGGTGAGACACCATGGGTAAAATACATCATCAATCGGTATGTCTCTCCTTCCCTCTGGTCGATAATCTAACCTCTTCCATCAGCTACGACTACTACGCAACCATTACCGGCTCCATCATCGTCCCCCAATGCGGGTACGACTCCATCCCATCCGACATAAGCGCCTTCCTCGCCAACAAAACCCTCAAAGCCCACTCTCCCCCACTCAACCTTGGAACCAGCACAACAGCCCACAAAATCCGCGGCGGCGTCTCCGGAGGCACACTCGCCTCAGCCATGACAGCTATCGAGGAAGTTCCCCGCTACGAGCGCAAGGAAGCATCGCTCCCGCACTCACTTAGTCCCATCGTCGGCGTGAAACCCTCGCGGCCGCAGTTCTGGTATAAGCTTCCGATACCGGGGGCTAAAGAGATATATGGCGCGTTTTTCTTCATGCAGCCTACGAATCGGGCGCTCGTGCAGAGAACGGCCGGGCTTTTGGAGTTGGAAGCCATTATGCATGGTGGTACGTCATTTTTCTTGTTGGAGTCTACGTAGCTTACTGAGGTTACTAGACCGAAAGGAAGCTCAACTCGAGAGATATGGTTCTAATTTCTCGTATGATGAGTTCATAGTGATGCCTTCGAAATTGGTATCCACCATGGTGACGACGGCTTTCGTCATTGGTGTCGGAATGTTGGTTCTCGTCCGGCCCGTGAGTACTCCACATTCCTCAAACCATTTTTTTTTGTTGATGGTCCGCGTATAGTTTAGGTGGCTGGTGAAGAAATTGATGCCCCAGCCCGGGGAGGGTCCATCTGAAGAGTGAGTTTACAAAATGCCGCCAACGAAATTTCGTTAACTCTGTTTAATTACAGACAAATGCAAAATGGATTCATGCAATGCACGAACCTCTCCGTATCCGACTCTTCCCCGCCTGTGCACGTCCAATCCGTCGTGAAAGGGCACGGCGATCCGGGGTACTCCCTCACCGCAAGTACGTCACCCATCCCCCTCCCCACCATATACATATACTAACCACGAATTGCAACAGTAATGATCTCCGAATCGGCACTATCCATCATCCTCCCGCCACCCTCCCAAACCGAATCACTCAAAACTCGAACAGAAGAAACGCAGATCCATAATCTGGGTGTGTTGGCGAGGCAAGGTGGCGTGTTGACGTCTATGACGGCGTTTGGGGATGTGTTGATCAAGAGGTTGGAGGAGACGGGGAAGTTTGAGTTTTCGAGCTGTGTTGTTGAGGAAGGCGAGGCGAGGAAGGGTGTATAATATACTAGTATACAGGGTTTTATAATATATGTGAGAGTTGGCCTACATACGGAGGTTGAACTGCCTGTTCTTGGTTAATATATATTATCGTTGTTGGCGTTTGAGGAGCGGTAGGAGCGTAGCGGGGGAAAGGTGCTGTTCACTGGCAGGTGCCAACTGGGTGGCAACTCGAAAATTTGTGAGTGTGCAAGTAATCAAGTACAGTAACGGATGCACCTTTCTAACGATCTTTGTTAGTATATCGGTTAGTACACGCGCTTGTCAAGAATATACACTAAGATGATCCGCGCGAAAGCTGGGTTCGACTCCCAGACAGAGAGATCCACGGAATGGCAGAAGAATATTTTTCTTACAGTACCAAACTCTAACGTTTAACCACAGTGTCACTTCCACGCGAAACCGTAGAGCCCAGCGGGGGAATGCAACAATTTCGAAATCAAAAGAGACGAGGACGCAATTGTGCTGCTTTGAATTTATCTCTATTACGGCCTCGAGACTTCAACAGATTTGTCTTATTGCAAGAAGTGGATGTGTATTTTAATCTTTGTTAGTACATCGGTCAGTACACGCGCCTGCCATTATGCCTTTAAAGTGAAACTTGATGCGCGCGAAAGCTGGGTTCGACTCCCAGACAGAGTGTGTGATGTAGACTCCAAATCGTTTTACAGTAATGTAGGGTCTCAATTGGGTTTCAAGTTTCAGCCCCCCAGACAGAGGAGCAATCATGGAGTCTTTTTTTTGTTTTGTTTTACAATATGTAAACTTCAACCAGAGTGTGATATTGCAGCAGCACTTTTGCATCTTTCGTGTCTTCGAGCTCGAAGTGACTTGTCTAGATCTTACATATTCCAAGAAGTGCATGTGTATTTAATCTTTGTTAGTATATCGGTCAGTACACGCGCTTGTCATGCCTTGCACGAAACCGAAACCTTGATGCGCGCGAAAGCTGGGTTCGACTCCCAGACAGAGAGTGTGGTGTAGGCAACAGAATTTTTTTGTATGGCACCCAGGAGCAATCATGGAGTCTTCTTTTTGTTTTAAAGTAAACTTCAACAGTGCTTGAAGGTCCGGTTAATTAACTGGAAAATAACCGAGACCAGACTGGACCTAACCACAAAAAGACCGGACTGCAGTTAGTGGTTAGTCAATTCTGGAAATGAAATAACTGGTTATTTTGCAGTTAACTAACTGTTAAAAAACCGGTTATGACCGGTTAAAACCGACCCTATTATACCCCTTCAAAACACATCTAAAAGCATGAGAAACAATAAAAATCTGACAGAGTTATGGTCAAATTGCTAAAATATTGGCCAAAAGAGTATGCTTTCAAGAATATTATCATAAATTTGTTAATTCTTCACCGAATTTAGCGTTCTTGGGCTTATTTTAAAGCTACGATACATGGCAATAATGTTTACTGTAAGAAATATGAGAAATATATGCTGTTTTAATCGATTTTCTATTTTTTCGGTCCTAACTGGTTAGTAACTGCAACTAACCAGTTTTGGATGGTTATCTTCAGTCCAGTTAGGTTATTTTGGGTCTGGGAACGAACCCTAACTGGTCTCGGTCTCGGTTAGAGCCCCTGGGCACCCAATAACCTAACCTAACCAGACTTTTAAACACTAAACTTCAAGCAGAGTGTAATATTGCAGCAGCACCTTTGGCGCAAAAACTTCAAAGAATTGAGGACACTGCTGCAGCTTTGAATTTCTCTCTATCCAGACTGGTAAGACTTGTGTTATTGCAAGAAGTGCATGCATACTTTAATCTTTGTTAGTATATTGGTTAGTACATGTGCTTGTCATATCACAAGTTTGTCGCAATTAGGTGGATGTGCGAAAGCTGGGTTCGACTCCCAGACAGAGAGATTCAAGAACTGCCAGTTTTGCCACTTTTTGCAAAAATCTGCATCTCATATATGGCCATATATTCAACACAATCGTCACAATTCAATGTATTGTATGTTGTTTTGACATAGCCATATAACCTAACAAACATTGGCAACCTTCACAAGGATTGTGAAATCTGCCGACCATTATATGGCCATATATGACCATATACTGTTTTAGGCTGGCAACGAGAAAAAAGATTTGAATCTACTAGCTATTGTACATCTTGTAGATACTCAGTTGCCGTGGTTGGAGCGTTTAACTTTTTTGACTAGGAGGTCTTCAGAGTGGCTACAAGCTCGCTTATAGTAAGTTATACATAAATAATTTTTTCGTGTTCCACTGGGTTCAATCTCAAGGTCTCAGGGTCTCATCTCAAATTTACTCATGTGCTCACTCAATCTCAGGTCAGTTCCATTAGGTAAGGTAGGTGGGAACTATATGGCAGGATTTGAATTCATGATTGATCCAATTGCTTCTCAAGACTATTTTGGGAATTATTTCTAACGGCAACCATTAGGTAATGTCCACCTCCAGGCCCTGCCGATGTTTGAAATATACACTGATCAAAAGTAATGTCACATGATTTTTTGGACAAAGTTGGTGCTGTAACACAAGAACCAAACATTTTAAGGACTAAACTCTGGTGCATGAAACATACCTAAGGACATGTAGATTGTATATACCAAGTCTGGAGATGAACAAATAAAAACTCAGGATACAGCAGGGCATTGACTATGACAACTCCCAAAAATGGGATTTGACAAAATGGGAAATTCTGAATGACTGCAACCTACTGGAAGCAATTCACAACTTGAGGAAGAGATATTTTGAACACTTGGTCTCCCTGCTATTGTTATGAGCTTCATAAAGTCTTTGGGCTAGAAAATTCTATATCCTCCCCTAAAAGGTAAATTTGAACTTGTTCTCAATTTATGTATTTTTCACTCAATATATTTGTTGGAATGAGGTAAAATAACTCCCCATTGATGTTTGTAGTGTGTATAATACAAAAGGTAGGTAGAAATGTTGAAATGAACATTGCATAATGTCTGTAGAAGCTAATTTCCAGAGTTTGTCTGGAAGTAATCAAGTATCTACAGCATTGGTCCTTCTTTTCTGCAAGAAGAAAAAATGCTACCATCCTTTTGAGTTAATTCATGGAGACTTTGGATGTCTTTTAAACAATGCTGGAAGTATAGCATGATAGCAAATAAATTTACACTGGGTATAACTTGGAAAGTCCCCAATAAAAGTACAATTTGCATAGAGCAATCATCCTAGACCTATTCTTGACATTTTTCTTGG